AAGGAAGTAACAGCCCAATGAGCCATATGTTCAGGGAACCTAACAGGTTTCCAGTGGGACCAAATTTCACTTCACCTTTTTGTCCTTATGTGCAAATAAAAACTTATCTGTAAAATACACCATTACAACAGTCAAGCAAATTTCTGAGGTCTACAGAATGAGAGAAAATTACATTAAGCCCATAAAATCCAAGTTGTTAGAGGGTAATGAATTGTTAGGTATTAGAAATGCATAAGAAATTGAACTAAATTTATCTGATCCCCATAGGTTCATGGCTTCAGATACATAGAACTGGTTAATGAAGGAAGGCTGATGGTTAGTAAATTGCTTAATTTTGCTGTTGATTAAACATCTGAATCTCAAGTTAATAAATCTAATTTTTTTCTTCCTATTAGGTAGGTTGCTATTTTAACAGAGTCAGGCACCCGGGAATTTTTCAAATGCCAGTTATTATTCTAGTACTGAAAAGTCTGTGATGTGCTAAGGGCAGGAGCCTGATTAGTAGTTTTTCAGAGTAGACATCTGAAAGTATTGACATTTATGTAACTCTTAAGAATTTTCAATTTAAAACATTTAAGTTTGGTATTTAGTAGATTCTAATAGTTTTTCATTCAGCTTCTCTATTGTTATGCCTGGTTGTAGTGTAAAAGGAAAAAATGACAGACTCACTCCATACACGTGTGTAGTTTTCATCTGAGCAGGACCAATGATAACCTAAAAAACACTAAAATTTACTAAAGTCATTTTACTTTGTATTTGTGTATTTTTATTATGAAATATTGCCAACAGAAGGGCAGGGAGAATATAAATGAGAACCTTATGTTTGACTGACCCTTGCTAAATCTCCACATTTGATTCTGTTTTAAAAAAATAATTATGTATGTAAAGTTACACAAAGGAAAGTCAATAAGAAAAACACACACACACACACATAAATTATCTTTCAGCTACTTTCGTTTTCCTATTTATGGTTAGAGGGAAGGAGTTAATTCAGGCACCTGCTTAGCTAAATTGCATGGGACACTTTAGAAGAAACTACGTTCTCATTCATTCTAAATTCGTACCAGTTCTCTGTAGCTAGGTTCCATTGAACCCACTTAAATCATATGGTCAACAGTTTTTAATCTCTAAGGGTAGTTTATGTAAATCTGTAGGAGTAAAAATATTCTAATGGTAGCAAGAGAAGTATGTTTCAAGTCCCGCAACCAGCTTTTAAGCTCAAAAGCAGGGGTAAGTTGAGCTGAAACCTCAGGTTCCACCCTCCGCAGGTATGGACGACCTCTTACTGCACAGACTCAAACTGAGGTAGGTTCTAGGTCAAAGGACAGCCAAGGAGCCTCTTTTGACCAGCTCCTGCTCACTGAATACCCAGCCCAGCAACCAAGCCAGGCGTGGAAACGCCCTGGCCCCCCATCGCCTTGGCATCCGCCGCAGGGGATGCGGCGCCCACTTCTTTAAGCCCTCTTCTCTGCCCCCCGACAGCCCTGAGGTGTATCTCTGGGGGTGCCAAAGGCCACTTAGCCTAGCTTGGGGTCAGGAGGGGGTCAGGAGGAGGTCAGGCCTTTTCAGCAAACTAATACCAGGGCCTTTGGTGTGCTCAGGTGATAGGGCGCCCGTAGTTCTGCTGGGGAGGGCGGGGTGCTGGGGCCTGGGGGTCGCTTCCCAACGCTTTGCTGCGAGGGCCCCGGAGCGTCGCCGCGGGCCAGAGGAGC